ATACCACTAACTACCCAAGAGATAAGGGTTCCAAGTTCTACTAAAATTCAGAAAAGGAGCCTAAGGCTCACTCCAGAAAATGTCAGCTTTAGTACTGTCATAACCAAAGAGGAAAAGACAGTACAGAGAATCATCAAAATGGAAACAATGTGAGATTCAAGAAAGATAAAATGATAAAAATTTTCCCAAGCAAAGAAAAGGAAACAAGAAAACAAGGTGGTTAGTCTCCCCAAGGCTTTCTCATTTGAACCAATGGAGAAATTAGCTGGAAAAAAATTACTTACAGGATCCAAACCTTCTTTCTCTAGTTTGGCTTTCTCCAAGTAGTAACTCCTCTCGGCCACGCTGAGAAGTCTCCAACTCTCACTAATCTTCTTATTGATTTCAGACTGTGGGAGGTGGGGGAGCTCTTGTTGCACTTTCAGGTAGATGTCATAGTAGTACAGAAGGTAAGCAGACCTGAGGAAGCAACCACTTCTTCAGACCTTCCCTTATTCAACCCATGTGTACCACAACATTAGAGGCTGCATAATTAAGAGATTAATATAAAAACCCAGCATCTCTATTCAAAGCACTTAATAAGACTGAAAATCAAGCAAAAAAAAAAAAAAAACACTTATAACACACCCAGATGGTATTTGAGAGGTGGGACAAAATGAATAGTAAAGACAAGTCAGTGGTTATTCTCCCTTCAGAAACCTGGAAGAAAGGCGATGTACTTTTCCATGGACCACTTTTTCCTGCAGGACCAACTGGCTTAAAATCAAATGTAGCCAAAGAAAGACACAGGTGTCCTGTTGCACCACTCAGGGAAAGGCTATCAGGGGGCTGATTGCCCAGGCTGGTTATCACACAAACTTTTTACTCCTTTACACGGCCTCTGGTCATTTAACTGAACAAAAATACCTCCTGAAGGCTAAGAAAGCCTCAGCAAGATGTATGCAGTGTTCACATTTAAGAGGGATATTAGAGCTACAATCTGGATATTCTCTATAGATGTCACTGGTACTATTTATAATTCTATAATTTTATTAATGACTTGTTTTAATATTTAAACAATGGTATAATAAAAAATAATGTAGCTCTTTTTGTACATAGCTTCTACCATCTGTCTGGTGCAAATTTTTTTTTTTTTTTTTTTTAATGACAGCCTGAAAACATAAGCAAAGTCTGGCCAGGAACAGCAAATGTTGGCATGTATCCAGCCACTTTCCACTTTCCATCTTCCTCTCCCCACATCCCAATGCCCATTCAAAGACTTCAACAACTGTACTCTTAAAAGAATTTTAAAGTATTCTTCAACATGGCTCTCAAAGCAGTAGGTTTATAAATTTCAGCAGCAACCAAAACATGTGGCTAACCTGGGTTTCTTGGCCTTTTCTCCATGTATTTTATACTTTTTCTTCTTCTTAGGTGGCCCAGAGGAGGTATAACAGTAGGCTTCCTCAATTTCCTCCATCACGACAGTTACCTCAGTACCATCATATGATGCATCCATGGCTATAGGCAAGGAAAATCAAACACAAAATTTTAAAAATCTATCCTAAAAGGAGCAACTGCCTCCAGATGCAATAATACTTACTTCTATCATGGTCTAAAGGCTTAGTCATTTCCCAAACTCAGCAGATACTAAGAAACATGGGTACTTGTTAAATATACAAATATCAAGGCTCCACTTCTTCTGAATCAGAATCTCTAGAAGGTATATAAACTTGTATACTTCACAAATATCTTAGGTGATTCCTTTGACATACTCATGTTCACTCATGGAACACTGCAATTCTTCAACTCAAAGACTTTTTAGCCCCACGTTATAAGAATTCCACATGGAAACAGGTAAAAAGACAACCTGGCCAGGAGTCAGAAGTTCTCACCCTCTCCCTTAAGGGGTTATTCATCAACTTAAACAGCTTCAATTCATTGAAGTAATTCAAACAGCAATAAGGACCTATGTACAAAAGATTTCTTTACACTCTGTCAGCTTGTGTGATTTCAACTGTTTGTGTGATTTTTAACTGATTTAGGTTCAGTTCTCTCATGTATAAAAAGAGATGTCTCACCTCCCCACAGATTTACAGTGATAAGTCTCAAAAGAACTAACAGACATAACTATTATTTGAGAACAGACAAGTATTATACAAATGAAAGCACTCATTATTAAAGACTATTATTTGTAACTAAGATGCTTAACAACTTGCCTAAGGCCACCAGACCTTTTTATTTTATCTTATTTTTTTGGTACTGGATATTGAACCCAGAGGTGCTTAACCACTGGGTCACATCCTCAGTGCCGCAGTCTGGCTGGGCACAAAATCACAAGCCACTCAAGCAGGAACAAACTTTATTTCCAAAATTCCCACGAACGCCATGCACACGGCCTTCTCCCAGGACACACATCAACAGGAAATTCCTCCTCTGGAAATCCCTCCTACCGCACTTCCCCAACCAATGGGAACTCTCCGGGAGTCCCGGCAAGAGCTCCAGGCCGAGGAGGACAGCAGGGGTCTAATATCCAATTGAATGCACATCTTAACATAATCATTATCATCTCAATGGCTTGCTGGCATCACCTTTCAACCAAAAATGCCATGCATCATTCCTACTCGGCTATGGCTCTTAGCACTCAGCCCTTTTTGTATTTTATTTAGAGACAGGCTGAGTTGCTAAGTGCCTTGCCAAGGTGCTGAAGCTGGCTTTGAACTAGCAAATCCTCCTGCCTCAGCCTCCCTAGTCGCTGGGATTACAGGTATGTGCCAGTGTGCCCGGCTCCTTTTTAATTTTTTATTAAAAAATTCAACTCCCTAGTCCTTTTCACATAATGCTACACTGCTACTGGCAACTCTCCCTACCAGAACTGTCCAATAAACCCCAATGGAAATGATCTACTCTATGCTGTCTAGTATAGTATCCACTAGTCACATAAGGTTATTTAGATGTAGAACCAGACTAATTTTGCTTTATTGAACTGTAATTAATTTAAAATAGCTGTATATGGCCGATACGAGTACAGTGGCAAAATACTATTCAGCACAGATCTAAATGGTAACCTGATAGATCAACATTAGCTCTCTGAAGCTGGCTTAAAAACACAGAAAATCTACTGAGAGCTTTTATGTCTAGGAAAAAGGAGGGATAAAAAACTGAATGCCTGGGGCTGGGGATGTGGCTCAAGTGGTAGCGCACTCGCCTGGCATGCATGCGGCCGGTTTGATCCTCATCACCACATACAAAAAAGATGTTCTCTCTCTCTCCCCCTCTTAAAAAAAAAATTGCTTGTAATATGGCAAGATTGTTTAAAAAAAAAAAAACTGAATGCCTAGCCAGGCATGGTGGCGTACACCTGTAATCCCAGCAAATCAGAAGGCTGAGACAGGAGAATCCTAAGCTCAAGACCAGCCTTAGCAACTTAGTGAGGCCCTAAGAAATTAGTGAGACTCTGCCTCAAAATAAAACATAAAAAGGGCTGGTGACTTAGCTCAGTTCAGTGGTTAAAAAAAAAAAAAAGTGGGATGTGACTTAGGGATAAAGCCCCTCTGGGTTTTAAAAAACACTGAATGCTTAGGTCAAGAAGAGATCGTTTATTTGTGATCAAGTTCTAGGTTGGAATTTTATCAATTAAATCCTTGAAGAAGCAAGATTCTCAGAAAACACTTGAATTTCCTGAGAGGAATAATAGTTGTTAATGAAAATCTATCAGAAGAAAATTTGGAATTCTGGAAAAAAGGAATTTGCGGGATTCTGGAAAGAGGTAGGAAACACATGACTGTATGTACTACAAAGCCCATCTGCATCTCATTTAGACCTCACTCCACAAATGATAAGGCATCTTACAACTATAATGAGCAAAAGAAGTCTATACATGGAGTCAGGGGACCTGAATCCAACTCTAAATTCTTACTTAATTATCTCAAACAAAGGCAATCCACAACCTAAATTTCCGTTGTTTTTTCTATGGACAAAGAGGATGAAATTAGTAGCTCCTACCTTTGAGGAGTCAAGAATCCTTTTGACAAATGTGAAAGCTAAAAACCTCCCCTAGAAAATGAAGACAAATAATATTTCACCTATATTTTAAAGATATATATCCCAGGTTATAAGCATATTATTCCTAAGGTCTTTTATAGTTGTGTTATCTCTAAATGATTCCTCTTCTGCCCCTCTCCCCCAAAAACCTCTAAACAAAGAAAACAAAAACAAAAACTTGCAACCCAGGAAAAAAATATAGTTCACAACTTGGTTGGATAAACAAAAGGCAAAAGGGTAAGGGAAGCTGGAGTTCAAAGCAAGGTTATGTGGGGACTGTGCTTTTTTGTCCTTTATAATTGATTTCCTGGCCCTTAAAATCCTTATAGAGAGGATCAGTATCTCCAAGAGAACATCTGTAAAGGATGACATGTAAGATTTTAGCAACCAGGGCAAAACAAGTTAAGAACCAACATCAATACAACCACATTTGGAGCAGGAAGAGACTACCCTAAGCTTTTGTTTTACTATCCTGTTCTGTCTGGGAAGAATGTTTTCCGCGGCTAGGCCTAGTGCATCAGGGCAAAAAGAGGCAGGATAAAATGAGGTTAAAGCCAAGGGCTCTACAGAACAGAAGACCTGGGTACTAATGTTGTTTCCACTGTTTAATAGCAGAAGCACAGACCCCTACGGCCTTAAGAAACCTATTTACCCTCTCCAAACCTTAGTTTTCTCATTTGCAAAACACTTTAACTAGAGACATTTTCACTGTCCCATCAGATCCTGGGAATCTCGTAAGATGACCTTCTGATGGCTCGACTATCGGCCAGGTTTGACTCTGGGATACCTTAGTTCCCTCCCTGGGTCTCAGATGTCTCAAAGGCATGGGCTGAGGGAAGAGGAAACTAAAGCTCACTGGTCCTACTTTGTCGAAGAGGCAACCGAAGCTAAGAGAGCGACGGCACTTAGTTCGAGGTCGCCCAGCAGGTAGACAGGGCGGCGTGACCCTCGTGAACCAGACTTACCAGGAGGAGCGTGCTAGCCGCGCGGCTCACATTCCCGGAGGCGCCTGGCCCAAGGGCTAGACTAGGAGGCTTGCCCGCGCACTCGCGCTCCCCGCTGTCGGAGAGAGGCGGCTCCAGTCGTGACAGCGGCAACAAGGAAGTGGAGGCGAGGGCTCGCGCGCGCATCCCGGGTACTGGAGGAGCCCCGGCCCCGGGGCCCCCCGGAGACACACGGCGCAGAGTCGCGACCACCCCTCCTGCTCCCCTCCTCGGAGTCGCGATACGGGGTCGGGAAGGGCAAGTGCAGGAGTTCAAGTTCACTTTGCAGGCTTCTCACCGACGCCTGCCGAGGACCCCGGGGGTCGAGCCCCGGGGAGCCCGAGGAAGAGCGCAAGGACGCAAGTATCGCCGCGGCACTAGTCTAGAGCTGGCAGCAGCAGCAGCGGCGGCAGCAGCAGCACACCACGGATCGCCAGGGAGACCCGTCCCGGCGGCCCTCGCGGCGCACCGGAAGTGGCCGGCGGCGCGTGACTGCGTGAAATCGCTCGCGCAAGCGCAACAGTCTAGCCCTAGCTGGGAAGTGGATCCAAAGGAATCGTTTAGAGGTTTTGAGTGGGGCTGTTAAGACTGACGGACTGCTTCCGGCCAAAGGTCCCGGGCAAAGGAGGAAGGTGTGGCTGCCGGCTGTGGAAGTGCCCGGCCGTTTAGCCCCGGGGCACTGCAGTGGGGCGTTCAGGTAACTACAGGGGCGGGGCTGTGCTACGCGTGAGGGATAGAGCCCCGCCTCACGTCTCAGAGCCACGTCGGGCACTGGGGAGCCTACCGCACCACCCTCTGCAGAGCAGCATCCGAGGCCTCACCCCAGCCCTCCTCAGTCGGCCCGTCCTCATTCAGGATAGGTTGATACTTGAGGCCACATCAATCCCCTCTCTCACTTCGGTGATGTGTCCACAATCCGTCTCCACTGTCCTACGGACAGTAACGACAGTGAGTTCCTGGAATGACTCAAGCCAAGTTCCTGGAGTGTGGAGAGGCTCCGGGAATCAGGGATTGGACTGGATTGTCTCCCGGGTCACATATTGTGCTATATTTGAACAAGTTCATGCACGACCCTCACTATTTTGCACATGTAATTACAATCTGCTTTCTTTTTGTCTACGTCTATCACCAACCTCCCAGCCAACATCATTTCCTGCCTGAACTTCCACCCTTGTCTCTTTACAGTCTATCCCACTTCTGCTGTCTCTCTACAGTCTATTCACACAGCAATCAGATTGATCATTTTGCATTGTAAGTCTTGTCATGTTAAATGCTTAACATTCTTCAATATCTTGTCTTTCACTTAGAATAAAATTCAAACTTCTGGATCTGGGCGTTTGACTTGGTGGTAGACCATTGCCTAGCATGGGAGAGATCTCCCCACAAAAGAAAAATTAACCAAACTTCTTAGGTTGATCAAAACTTTGGTTTGGCTTCCACCTCATTCTCTTTACATGTCTCTTTTCAGTATCAGTAATATTCAGAACAAACGATATAACATTTTTTTTTAGTGTTCAGAGCATTAATTTTGTCATGAGCCTTTCTGTATTTGAATCCTAGCCCTGCCACAAGTAAGCAGTATTAAGTATGTAAAGTGCTTCACAAATTGTTTAAGCAGTAGATGCTCAATATCTGGTTCCCATCTCAGTAAATAGCATCACAATCCACTGGATTGTTCAGGCTCAAACCAGAAATCTGAGAGTTGTCATTGACTCCTCTTTGACCTCATATCCTCACCACCACAAGGCCTGCAAAAACAACCCTCAGCTGATTACTTCTCACTATTTCCTATATTGCTACTCTAATCCAAGCCACCTCATCTGTTGTCTGGACTGTTTTGTTTTTTTAAAATTTTGTGCTGGGGTCTAGCCCAGGGCCTTGCTTATGCACTCTATCATTGAGCTACATGCCTGCTTTTCCCCCAACACCTTTTAATTCCATTCTTCACACAGCAATAAGCTTTTTCTTCTTTTTTTTTTTTTAAGTCCTACAGTAGTTTCCTGTTGCATTCAAATTAACATTCAAGCTGCATACAGTCCACTAAGCTAGCTTGCTTTTATCTTCAGATTTAGGAGCACCTCTTAGGAAAATGGATTTTACCTATTAGGTTCTCCACCCTGCAACAGGACTTTTCTAAAGTACAAATCTGATTTGCCATTCTATAAAAACCCTCCAAAGGCTGCTTTATATTTATTTTTTGTCCGTGTGAGTGTGTGTGTCTGTGGTACTGGGGATTGAACCCAGTGGAACTCTATGACTGAGCTACATCCCCAGACCTCTTTATTTTTTACAGGGTCTCACTAAATTGCTGAGGCTGCCCTCAAACTTAGGCTCCAGCCTCAACCTCTTGAGTTGCTGGGAATATACGTGTGTGCCACCGTGCCCAGCTAACCAAAGTCTTCTTACTGCACCCAGGATCAAGCTAGAGTCCTAACTAGGCCTTTGTGATTTGGTTCTGCTTCCCCCCAACCCAACCATGCCTGACCATGACATTTTATTTTCTATAGTAATTCATTGCCTTAACTCATATTTCCTTACATCTCGTAATTCTAGTTTGTTTATTTCTTAAGGCCCAGCACATTGCTTTCTCTTTGAAGTGCCCCCGTCCGTGCCCCATTCCAGTTGATTATCCCCACTTCTGTATTCACATGGCACTCTATAACCTCTGTTACAGTATTTCACACACTCAGGGCATATCTTCGCTGTGCTCCCTCTCTATATGGCTGGCATTGAAAACATACAGGATGCCATGAATGGAAGGATAGATTTGTGGAGATGGTGTAAAAATCTCTCTTTGGGAAGGGACAGTCACTACATAGAGGCACAGCATCTTCTGTCTGTGAGGACTCATGATAAAATTAAGCAGGCAATTATCAAAACTGCTATTCCTGGATGATATTTTATTTGACCAGACTTGGCAGAGAAAGTGTTTGTTTTAAATTCTTAAGAGCTCTGGACAGGGCACACAGTCGACAACATTCTCCAAATATCTCACTTAATATATCTCAATAATTCTACTCACTTATGCCACCCACCATTCTGGTTTCTAAAGGCATTTTTCTTTGGATCACCTAACTAGAGTCCAGTACTTCAATTTGGAAGGAACTTTAGAGGTCATCTGGTCCCATGGTTTACAAACATGGGACATATAAGAATTACACTTAGAGCATTTCAAAATTTTGTACTTCCTCATAGAAATTCCCATTCAGTAGATCCTAGGTCAGGCCTGGACATCAGATTCTGATATGCCCTACCTGGTTGAGTCTAATCTCCTCATTTTAAAATGGGAAAAGAGGCCCAGAAAGGGTCTAAATTATAACCTGCCCATCATTTCTGCCATCGTCTCTTGCCCTAGTTGTCAGCAATAGCATCTCAGTATCCTAGTTGGTCTCTTTGCCCCTTCGGTACATTTTCTACAAGAGGAGCTAGAGTGAGTCTTTTTAAATGCAAAAGAGATAATGACCTTCCCTTGCCTATTCAGTGGATTTCTATTGCATTCAGAATAAAATATCAACTCCTTACTACAGCATATTTGAATGGTCTGGTTCTCCACCTTTGTCATAGACTAGGAATCATACAAATCTTCAGTTCCTGAATACCTCAAGCTCTTTCCTGATTTTGAGATTTTAATGATGCTATGTCCTTTGCTAGACTCTCCTTTCCCCCTGTTTTTCATGGAAATTTCAGTTTAAATGCCATCTTCTCAGTGAGGCCATGCCTAACCACCCTTTGTAAATATTATCTTCCCCTTTTATTCCCTGTCATAGTTTGTTTCCTTCATAGCACTTAACCACACTATAATTTTCTTATTTATCTGTTTACTTATTGTTTGTCTCCCATCATGTTTTATATTTCCTAAGGGTAGAGACCTTCACTCTGTTCATCTTGCTGCTTGGCACCTGTAAACATTTATTAAATGAATCTTAACTAAGCCAGATGGCACAAAAGCTTTGAAGAGCTCATTTTGGTGGAATTTTAAGCAGGACTGTGGAGTGGTGGATACAGCACTAATCTGAGTCATCCCCTTCCCCAGGGCTCATTTTCTCTATCCATAAAACAATCTGGATAAATAATTCCTTGAATTTTTATACTTCATTGTTATTTGCAAAGCTCTTTCATCACCTATCTTAATCTATTATCATAGCAGGTAAAATAGATCTTGTTATTCCCATTTTTACTGAGGCTGGAAAGTTTAAGTAAACCAGATTATCTGTAAAATCCCTTCTGCTTCAAACATTCTATGAGTCTGTGGAAGTAGTCTACTACTGACAAAAAGTCAGTAGCATGAATCTTATCTTCTTTTCACTTTAACATCGTAATTTCCTCATAGGATTTTTAAAAATCTGAACCCATCTTTAAAGGGGAAGTTCATTATCTTTAGGTCCTGATAGATACTCCATTTTTGTCTTCTCAGTTTTCCACACTTGTGGCAAAACAAGCTTCAAGAAAGAACATTGGCATTCCTGTTAGTTGTGGCCCAGTCCTCATCACCTGGAAATGGCAAACAAGGGGAACAAGAAGCGTCGGCAGTTCTCCCTGGAGGAGAAAATGAAAGTTGTACAAGCTGTTGACTCAGGCAAAAGAAAAGGTGATGTGGCAAAAGAATTTGGTATCACTCCTTCTACATTATCTACATTCTTAAAGGATAGAGCCAAATTTGAAGAAAAAGTGCGAAAAGCATCTGTGGGGCCCCAAAGGAAAAGGATGAGAAATGCTCTCTATGATGACATCGATAAGGCTGTTTTTGCTTGGTTTCAAGAAATCCATGCCAAAAACATTCTCGTGACTGGTTCTGTGATTCGGAAAAAAGCACTAAACTTGGCCAACATGCTTGGCTATGACAATTTTCAAGCAAGTGTGGGTTGGCTGAACAGATTTAGAGATCGCCATGGAATTGCTTTGAACGCTGTCTGTAGAGAGGATGGTGACAGGTTAATGAATGGTCTAGGAATAGATAAAGTTAACGAGTGGCATGCAGGGGAAATTATAAAGCTAATTGCTGACTACAGCCCAGATGATATATTCAATGCTGATGAGGCAGGAGTGTTTTTCCAGTTGCTTCCCCAGCACACACTTGCTGCTAAAGGAGACCATTGTAGAGGGGGCAAGAAAGCAAAGCAGCGGTTGACAGCACTCTTTTGTTGCAATGCCTCAGGGACTGAAAAAATGAGACCATTGATTGTTGGTAGGTCACCCAGCCCACACTGCTTCAAGAATGTCCATTCCCTGCCTTGTGATTACCGAGCCAACCAGTGGGCATTGATGACGCAGGACCTGTTTAATGAGTGGCTGATGCAAGTGGATGCCAGGATGAAGAGGGCAGAACGCCGGATCCTCCTGCTTATTGACAACTGTTCTGCTCACAACATGCTTCCACGCTTAGAAAGGATTCAGGTGGGATATCTGCCCTCAAATTGTACTGCTGTCCTGCAGCCACTGAATCTTGGCATAATTCACACCATGAAAATGCTATATAGGAGTCATCTTCTAAAACAGATCCTCTTCAAGCTCAGTGGCAATAAAGATCAAGAAAAAGTGGACATCAAGCAGGCCATTGACATGATTGCTGCAGCATGGTGGTCAGTCAAGCAGTCCACAGTGGTGAAATGTTGGCAGAAAGCAGGCATCATCCCTATGGAATTTACAGATTCTGATGCAGAAATGGTAGCCAAAGAACCAGACATTGCTATTGAAAAGTTGTGGCACTCAGTGGCTGTTGCCACATGTGTCCCAAATGAAGTAAATTTCCAGGACTTTGTCACTGCAGATGATAATCTCATCATCTCTCAAGAGCTAGTGGACACAGAGATCATCCAGGGTATGGTGACTGGCAAAAATACTGCTGAAGCTGGAAGTGAAGATGAGGAAGAGGATGTTTCTTTACCAGAGCAGCCAAAAATCACTATCACAGAAGCCGTCTCAAGTGTACAGAAACTTAGACAGTTCCTTTCCACTTGTGCAGGGGTTCCTGATGCTGTTTTTGGACAACTAAATGGAATAGATGAATATTTAATGAAAAAAGTGACACAAAGTCTTACTGATTCCCAAATTACAGATTTTCTCCAAGCAAAATAATGTAGGAATTAACTGCCTCTTTTACTTTGGAAAATATTTTTCAAGAATAAAGATTTCTTTAGATAGAATATTGAACTAATTTAAGTAAAGCAATATTATTATGATAATTTTTCAGTACTCAGAGATAATCAGGAAACTTGAACAGAATTTGGGAATGAAATTTGACTAATATGTGTGTTCCCTTTTGGTTAATACATTGGTTTTCAAATTTTGCTGCACCTTAGGAGCACTTGAGGATCTTCTAATAATTCCAAAGCCCAAGCCATATCCCAGAGGAGTTAAATCACAGTCTCTGTTGATGGGTCACAGGCATTTAGTAGTTTTGAATTTCCCCAGATGATTCCAATGTACAGACAAGTTTGGAACTACTGAAATAACCACAGGAAAATCAAGTGCATTATGGACACAGAGTCAACTACTTCCCAACAAGTCTAGATCAGTGGTTTCTAGAGTTTAGCTCACATCAGAATCACTTCTACTCTCAGAATTTTGGATTCAGTAGGTCTCAGAGGGAACCCAAGAACTTGCATTTCTAGTAAGTCCTCACCTGATGATCCAAGGTCCATACTTAAAGAACCACTAACATAGCTGGATTCTAGTACCTCCTCTTCAGATGGCCTTCTCAATACTCTCCATTGCTGTATAAAAAGAAAAGTGTCAGCTATTCTTACTCCAAGGCTGTTTAGCTCCTTCTTTTCTGCTGATTTGTTAACTCTAGAACTTTCTTAGCTATCCTCTTGATGCCCCAAAAGTTATCCAGGTTTTCAGTAGAGGTACATATGTTTGTGCCCAAGGAATTAACAGGAGCCATCTAGCTCATTAAAATATCCATAGTGCTTTAAACATAATTATTAGGAAGCTGGAGTATAGGGAAATAAAGAGCATAAAAGGGACATGGATATGCTCTGAGACAGAAGGTATAATAAAGAGAATCCTGTTAATCAGGATCATGTGCCTCTCACTTTCTAGACAGGATGAAAGGGGAGTTTGTTAGATAAATCCTATGGGGGTGTTTGGATCACACCCTGATTTGGATTTTTTTCACTGTTCTTTTTTTTTTTTTTTTTTTTTTGTAGTTGTAGATGGGCAGAATGCCTTTATTTTGTTTGTTTATTTTTATGTGGTACTGAGGATCAAACCTAGTGCCTCATGCATGCTAGGCAAGCCCTCTACCACTGAGCTACAGCCCCAGTCCCTCACTCTTCTCAATCCAGTCTGTACCGTATAATCAAAATGAAGGCACATTACATTTTCCCTCTACTAAAATGGTTCCATAAATTGCCTTTTTCCATTTGTGCTTGTTCTTCAGAGAAATCAAAGTTTATTCTGAGTTATTTAAAATTACATGAATTTATAATCAGATTTATATTAAAGTTTCTTCCCTATAGAGAAGGCATTCTTTTTTCTTCTTTGCAGGACTAGGGATCAAACCTAGGGCTTGTCAGGCAAGTGCTCTACCACTGAGCCACATCCCCAGCCCTAGAGAAGGCATTCTTAATATTCTTTATAATTCTAGAATATACTCCTGGTAAACCAGACAAATAAAATTTCATTTCTAGAGGGTACACACAGAACCTGTTAATGTTGTGGTGGTGGGTTTTTTTTAAACCTGCCCCCACCCTGAATGATTTTGTAGATATTTCAGAAACCCACAGGAATTCATTTTTCTTTCTGCAGTTAATTGAAACACATAAAGCAGATTAATCATAGAAAGTATTGCTTCTACAGTGAACAAAACAACAATCATGAAAAAATATTTGTTTATATAGATTTTTAAAGCTCATTTTGGATATTTTTCCTTTCAACAAATTAGTATGAGAATTTAAAAGTATTGTACATGTTTTAAATTAACACTTAGAAAAGGGAAACAATGTCTTCTAGCCAAATCCTGTGGTTATATCTCATCCTTAGCTCCTTAATTGCCCTCATCATCTTCTTGTATCAGGATTACAGACACGTTTCCTAATCCTTTCCCTCACCTCCTGCAGTCCCTTTCTGCACATATTGTTAGGTCTGTTGGCATCAAGCCATTTACTTTGCCTAAGTGTTTGTGTTGGCTCTAAAATGTCTACAAAAATGAAAGACCAGATTTTTCAGCTGAGTGTTATTTCCCTAGGTAGTTGACTGCAATTTCCAACTTGGTTGTGCAGCACAATGTGCACCTTGCTGCCTAAACAGGCCATTGTCATCATTCATTTCATACACATTGCTGCTTCTATGCCTTTACTAGAATGCCTTGCCCTGCTCTCTATCAAGCTAGGCCATACACATTCTCCAAGAACTAACTTGAGCCTAGCGTGGTGGTGTAGGCCTATAATCCCAGCTACCCAGAAGGCTAAGCCAAGAGGATTCCAAATTCAAGACCAACCTAAGCAATTTAGCAAGACCCTGTGTCTAGCCACGCATGGTGCACGCCTGTAATCCCAGTGACTCAGGAGGCTGAGGTGGGATCATAAGTTTGAGGGTAGCCTCAGCAGTTTAGTGAGACCCTATCTCAAAAAATAAAAAGCTGAGAAGGGGGCTGGGTTTGTGGCTCAGCAGTAGAGTGCTTGCCTTGCACATATGAAGCACTGGGTTTGATCCTCAGCACCACATAAAATGAAATAAAGGTATTTTGTCCATCTGCAACTAAAAAAGCTGGGGATATAACTCAGTAGTAAAGTACCCCTCGGTTCAATTTCCAGAACTACCCCTCCCCCAAAAAAAGACTGTCTCAAAGTACCTTGGGTTCAATCTGCTGTGCCACAGGGGAAAAGGAAAAAAAGTAGAATCCTTTTTCTTGAAGACACCAGCACATATTCTATGCTTTTCCCTCATCCCATAGTGGTAGAGATTCATTGTCTCTACCACTCAGTTAAGCACTTAAATGTTTTCTCAATGTTCTGTGACTCTTTGATTAGACTGTAAGTCCCATGAGAGCAGAGACCAGTTAGCCTTTATAATGGTGCCTAACGCGGTGCTAGGTACATCTTAGGCATGTCAATAAACCTTGAAGTAGAAATCAATACACATGTAATATGTCAAAGCTACCTTGTTTTTTAAAGCAGCATTGATTATATAAGAAAATGGCTTGGGAAAAGGGAGTGATGTATTCTATATGAAAGGATTTACAAAATTTTTCTGTATCATCACTTCAAATACAATTCCAATCCAAGTCATAATCTGGTTTTTGATAATGAAGAAGTCTATTATATGGAGTTAAACCTGTGTCTTTCCACCAAAAAAAAAAAAAAAAAACACTGCAGGATTTTATTTTATTTTCTCTCCCCTCTATTTGTACACAGAGAACTTTCGTTAGAAAGGCCTTATCTAAGTGGATGCTAATCCATAATGATGGGGGGCATGGGATGAGTGGAGGAACTTTGGGTGTGGCAAAGGAGGGGACAAGGGAGTAGAAAAGATGGTGGAATGAGATGGACATCATTATCCTAAGTACACATATGATTGTATGAATGGTGTGGCTCTACTTCATGTACAAACAGAGAAGCGAAAAATTGTGCTCGATTTGTGTACAATGAATCAAAGAGCTTTCTACAGTCATGTTTAACTGATTAGAACTTATTTAAAAAGGCCTTAGATAGAATAGATGTTCAGGACATATGTGCTTAAACTTTTTTCACAAAAAGGAAATCTAGCATTCTTGATTTACTTAACATCATGATATAGATCTAGGAGATGAAAATCATATCCCAGAGTCCTTTGCAGTCTAATTTACATTGGCTAAGGTTTTGATTCTAGTGGATATTAGGGTTTTTGGCTTGGTACTTTGTTTTTTAGATTAAAAGTGGTTGATAGTATCCCTTCTTGGCCTGTTCTCATTAGACCCTCTGTGGCTTCTCCCTGAATCTCTGGTCAAGCTAGCTCCATTTGAGTAACAATTACATTTCTGCCCCGGTTGATTAACCCTCTCCATAAGCCAGTATGCAAGAACTCAGTACCTACCTCAATTGTGTTGTCATGAGGATTAAAAGATGTGTCTGGGGGCTGAGGATGTGGCTCAAATGGTAGCGCGCTGGCCTAGCATGCGTGAGGCACTGTGTTAGTTTCTCAGCACCACATAAAAACAAAATAAAGATATTGTGTCCACCTAGAACTAAAAAATAAATAACAACAAAAAAAGTGTTAAAGACTAAGTGTTCTTTAAATGCTACCTATAGTCATTACTATCTATTCCTATTTGGAACTTAACCATCATATAGAATCAGAGATTGGTTTAATCAATCCTTTCTTCCATTAGCAGTTCTTGGGTTCAGTGTTCCAGATGATAACTCCCAAGAGTTTTCTTTGTAACTCAAGAAGGGCACTTTCATTCGAAAGGAAGAAAATTTAAGATTGCTTTCCTATCATGCATTTTTTCACTTATCATTTAATTTTTCTAAAAAAAAAATATATATATATATGGTACAAAAGCACAAATAGGCTCAGATAATTTAGTTCCAAGGTTACAGACCTGTTAAAACTGTTCATGCTGAGGCCTTATTTCTTGGAATTTCAACCACCAGAGGGCACAGGTGGGTGACATAAAGGAAACAGTCAACTGAAGAAACCCTAAGAGCAGCCACTTGTAAATTCTGTGATGTGATAGAGATTGAGAGGGAAGACAAGGAAAAGGGGAAGAGACATAGGATGTGAGACTTGTTCAAGCAACCAACCAGGAACGAACTGCCTAGGACCACAAAATCTACCTCATCACACATCTCTTCACTAGAGACTTTTTCCAACCTATTGATACCACAGACCATGTTGACTCTGGACAGCTAGATATACTCTAGAAATGAGCCAGTGTTATAGGAATAATTATCCACCAAGCATATCCATGTTTGAAATAATAATTTATTGGACCTTATAATGTAGCCATCACTGGCCATAGGAGCTCTAAGAATTCTACCCTCAAGAATTTCAGCGGGGCACAGTGGCACTTGCCTATAGTCCCAGCTACTTGGGAGGCTTCAGAATTTCAAGGATGGTCTGGGCAACTTAGGAGAACCCTGTCTCAAAATAAAAGGAAAGGTCTGAGGATGTAGCTCAGTATTGGAGCATTTGCACTGCATGTGTGAGGCTTTCA